TTTAAGGGGTGTACGGGGTTTGGGGGGTTTTGGGGGTCGAAGGTCAGGGTTTAGGGGTTTAGGGTTCAAGGTTGAGGATTTCAGGACGTTGAGAACCCTACACTCTGCCCTACTTAGCTATAATCAGGGTTTTGGGGCCCCACTTTTTTGACACCGTTTTTGGTTTCGGTGATATTATTCATGACCCTTTTTTGGAAGGAACCTGAAGAAACCCAAATAAGGGAAACCTACCAGTAGAGCAGGCATGCAGTAGGAACATGCGGACCCTCGTTCCATTTCCCGGGGCACCGCGGTATGTCTTTGAGCTGCGGTTTAGGGAGTTCAGGGTTTCGGTTTTAGGGTTTAGGATATTTAGGGTTTAGGGCCCCTAAACCCCAAACCCTAAACCCTGCTTCGAGGTTCAAGCCAGTGGAGCTAAGCACGAAGAAAGGCCTGAGAGGCCGTGGCGGCTCGTTTTGATAGGGTTTATAGGGTGTATAGGGTGATCAGGAGGGTTTACAAGGTAATTTAAGGTTTAGGGTTTATAGGGTTTGAGAGTTTAGGGTTTTAGGGTATTTGGGGTTTCGGGGTGAATGGGATTGAAGGTTTTAGGGGTTTCGGGTTTAGGGTGAGAGAGCCGGGGAGGATCACATCATCCTCGCACGTTGAGGGTTCAGTTCTTAGTTAGTTTTGGCTGTTTAAAATTAAAATTATCATGTAGGGGGCGCAAGTAGGGGACGTTTGAGCTCATCTCGCTGTGTGGGTGGTTTAGGGCGGAGTTATTCCATAAACCTTGAAATAGTAATATATAAAGCGTTTCTCAAACTGTCCTATTTCATTGTTTTGGAATACATCACATAATCCATCACAACTAAGTTGATGTAGTTTCTTTAGCATTTGACATTGTTGCAAAAAAGCATCTTTACATGCATGTGCCCGATGTAGGCTACTGTCGCACCGAATCTGAGATCTAAAGCGCCCCCCCCCCCCCCCCCCCGCACATGCCCCTGTGCGATTTCTGCAGAGTACTCAACCAGAAGCATAGCATGCTTGTTGAAACAGTTGCGCCAAGCCATGGATCACGAGTGGCGAACTTGGGGTCTTAGGGTTTTGGGTTCAATATGAGGACGCTAAAAATTCGAAGAGGATCTTGGGGTTATTGTAGTATAGTGACAAAGGGACCATAAGGGAATATGATTTGTGATTATTCCGACCCCTGAAGTAGGGCTTCGTGAGGCTTCCAGCGACCTCCTAAACCCTAAAGCCTAAACCCTAAACCCTAATCCCTAGACCCTAAACCCTAAACCCTAAGCTCAAAGCCCTAATCCCTAAGCCCTAAGCCCTAAGCCCTAAGCCCTAAGCCCTAAGCCCTAAGCCCTAAGCCCTAAGCCCTAAACCCGAATCCGGGTTTTTGTTGTTGCATCTTGCGACTTCGCATCGAGCACTGGTGCAGCATGACGGCGAATGGCCCGTAGCTCTTAAAGGACCCGCTTAAAGGGTTTAGGGGTCAGGGTTTAGGGTTTAGGGTTTAGGGTTTAGGGTTTAAATTTAGGGTTCAGGGTTCAGGGTTTAGGGTTTAGGGTTTAGGGAAGATCAAGCGGAACAACAGCTGGCACGCAGTCTCAACATGAGGGACACGTAGCCGCGCTGCTCGAGGCCTTCATCCGTTGTGCTGCAGACAAGTCCAACAGATTCACCCTACACCCTACACCCTACACCCTAAACCCTAAACCCTAAACCCTAAACCCTAAACCCTAAACCCTAACCCTAAACCCTAAACCCTAAACCCTAAACCTAAGTACAGGTTTTTGGGTTGAATCAGGAGGGCCCCCTTGTGCTATACCAGTTATAGTTTAGGGACCCGCACCCTGAACCCTAAACTCGATACCCCATTTAGGGTTTAGGGCTTAGGGTTTAGGGTTTAGGGTTTAGGCTTAAACTCCAAATCCTAAACCTTTAAGTTCCAAACCCTAAACCCGAGAAGCTCGTCGAAGTTGCGGTACCTCTAAAACCAACTCAGGGGAGCCTTGTGCACTCCCGTTAGAGCTGGAGACCCTGGACCCGAAACTCTTAAGCACTAAGCCTCAGCCTAATTAAGGAGGGAGTGGGGTAGTTTAGGGGTTTTGGGGGCTTAGGGTGCATTAGATAGGGTTTAGCCGGCTTTTGTAGGCTTTTTAGGGTTTATAGGGTTTATAGGGTTACAGGGCTTAGAGGTTTTTTTTTGTTATAGGGGCTGGGGTTTGTAGGGTTCCCTCGGAAGGCCACATCAGAGAGTCCCTCGGCACCCATGGCTACATGAAGTGCCGCTTCTCCGCGCACATCAAGCAGGCCTGGGATTGGAGGGTTTGTGGTTTTAGAGATCAGAGGTTTGGGGTACAGGGGTTTAGGGTTTAGGGTTAGGGTTTAGGGTTGGGGTTTAGGGCTTTAGGGCTTTAGGGCTTTAGGGTTTAGGGTTTTAGGGTTAAAGGCTTAGGCTTGGGATGTTCCCCCTTTATACTCGCAGTCCTCAACAGGGATTAGAGAACCCCCTATTAGAATACCCATGAAGGACTGCTAGTATAAGGGGGAGCATCCCAAGCTTAGGGTCTAGAATTGTTCTAAGGGTGGTTTCCTGCAAACCCTAAACCCTAAACCCTAAACCCTAAAAAAGAAAACCAAGTATGGGCCCTTGGGTTTCATAGTGTATTTTGGGGGTATACCCCTTGTAAGGGCCCGTACTAAGGGACCGTGCAACTACCCTAATTGTATATTGGTCCTCTAAGGGAATAATTGGCCATGTTAGGAGCATATTAAGGGAACCTCTTAGGAGGTACATCCTTACCCTAAGGGTCCATGTACCACATGATTATATACTTGGCCCAGAAGTCCCTACAGAAGACGTACTTTGAGGCCCAGGTACTCCCTATTTAGGTACGTGGACCCTTAGGGCTAGGGGTCCGAGTCTGACACCCTAAACCCTAAACCCTAAACCCTAAACCCTAAACCCTAAACCCTAAAGACCCAGAGGGCCCAACCTCTGGTGCAGGACGACACCGTCTGCATGAACCTGTACAAACGAGCCGCAGCCTCAGGAGGGGCGCCGGAGGGTTTAGGCCTTCAGGGGTTTTAGGGTTTTAGGGTTTTTAGGGTTTTAGGGTTTTTAGGGTTTTTAGGGTTTTAGGGTTTTAGGGTTTTCGGGTTTTAGGGTTTTAGGGTTTTCGGGTTTTCGGGTTAGGGTTTTCGGGATTTAGGGTTTTAGGGTTTTAGGGTTTTCGGGTTTTCGGGTGTTTGGGTTTTAGGGTTTTAGGCTTTCGGGTTGAGGGTTCAGGGTTAAGGAGGGTTTAGGGCTTAGGGGTGCGAACTCGCTCGGAACCTAGGGTTCAGTGTTTAGGGCATGCTGTTTTTTGGAGTCTGCGGTTTTAGGGTTTTAGGGTTTCAGGGTTGTAGGGTTTTGGGGTTTTGGGGTTTTGTGTTTTGTTTTGTGTTTTTGTGCTTTATGGTTGAGGGATTTTTAGGTTTGGGGATTTAGGGTTTTGAGATTCGGGTTTTAGGGGTTTAGGGTTCTAACGTTTTAGGGTTTTAGGTGTTTCGGGTTTAAGGTTTTAGGGGTTTTAGGGGTTTAGGGTTTAGGTACCCTTGACTCGGCTCAGGTTTACCCAAAGTGGTATCCGCCCGCCTGGGGCGGCCGCGCCGATGCCGCGCCGGAGGAAGCATAGGCTTCTCGTGCTGGGATGGGGAGCTGACCTGCTAAACCCGAAAGCGTAAACAAAAACAGCGTTTTCCGTCAAACACAGAAAAATTGCGAACATGTTGAGCACCACTGACCAGCCCAAGACGAAAAACGCTGTAAATACCGATGTTTCCGACTGCACGCAACACAAGGGACGTAACCACCCCCGCCCCCCCCCCCCACCCCGGAGAATGCAGAAGTCGACAACCCTTCCACGGCGGCGAAAGAAGCGGCTGCCCTAAACTACTGCTTGCTTAAGAGACCCTCGAAAAATGTGAAATAAGAATCCGTATACTACCCTTATAAGGAAGTTTTCTTTTTTTGGGGAGCAGGAGGTGGAGCAGTAAGACTTACCCCTAAATCTAGTCTAAGGAAGGATCCTCTGAGTTGGGTTCGGCACTGGAAGGGCGAAGGCTGGAGCTTTTAGGGTTTAGGGTTTAGGGTTCAGGGCTTCAGAAACCTCTGCAGGGTCGCGCAAAGATTTCCTCAAAGAGCTCCAAGTGAGGCAGAACCCTGAGGGTTCATGTACCTAAACGGGGAGCACTTGGGCCTCAAAGTACCTCTTATGTAGGGACTTTTGGTCCCAAGTATATAATCATGTGGTACATGGACCCTTGGGGGAAGGGAGCGAACTTCCTTTGTTACAGATCCCGTTGGCTGCGGCTACGCCAGTTATGGCTTGAAGTTTAAGGGTCCAGCATTTGTAGAATGAGGGCCTGGTAGTTGAGTGTAATGTGGGGAGGGATAGTAGAAGTGCATGGACTTCTGGCCCCAGTCTCCTAAGCTACCTGCTATGCTGAAAGTACCTCAGATCCAATGTCGGCTTCTTTTCTCTGTCAAGCCAGCTGCATTTCGAGGCTGAGCTGCGCCTGCTTATTCGGCTCGACAAGGCCAGTTGCGCAGAGTTGAAAGTCTTCAGAGAACCCCGCGATGCAAACTAGGCTGACCCTCAGCCCTAAATGCTGACGAAGTGTGTTCCGCCTTGAGCGCCCACAACAGGTTGGTGTCTGGCGTGAACCGCTTTGCCATTTGCAGACGAGGGCTGGAAGGGGGCCACACTCAGGGATTTCAAGGCATGTCCATGAGACAGATCGTTGTTTAAGATGCTTCTGTTGCGGCACGTGAATACACTCCCAGCAGGAGCCACGACAGTTGCAGACTAGAACCCTAAGGGTCCATGTACCACATCATTGCATACTCGGGCCCAAAAGTCCCTATATAGGAGGTACCAAGCATTTCCTGTTTAGGTACATGGACCCTTAGGGGGAAGCTTAAAAGTTGAACCCTTAACTACCGTCCAAGCCCCGCAGCCATGCCTGAGTTCACGCTGTACGCACGGCAGCGCGCAGCACAGGAAGAGGCTGCCAAGGATCAGCTGCGTGCCTGGCTAGTCTGGCTCTTCGACGTGCAGCCAAGTCAAGTTTACATTTCCATCTGCTCACTCTCGCATCTCTTTTCTCATCTTGCAAGCAGGGAACCTTACGAAGGAATGGCTTAGGCCTTGCGGAACGTTTTCGCTGAAAGTTCTGTGTGTGCAGTTGTTGGCCGTAGTATCGAACAAATGCCGCTTGAAAGCCGAGGCTTCTGATCATTCTCGAGGCAACTTCCATGCTGTGCTTTATTCAAGTGGCGACGCTCACACATGGAGTCTTCACGCTGATCCCTTTGGTTGGGCTTTGTGTGGCTGCCGCGCTCCGCTTGCACTCCAGGCCCCACATCCTGCTGGCAGAGCCACTTTGCGTTGTGTGGCCGGACAACCATTCCCGGCACAGGCTTGCCCGCAAGCAGATGTCCCAGATCGGATTTGTCATGTATGTGTGGCTGCTGAAGCTTGTTTGCTGCATGTCTTTTTGGGCAAGCGGGGCCAGCATCAGCCTCATGACAGACCTGTGCCCCGATTCCGTCCCCATGCCAAACTGCAGTCACTACAATAGACCGGACGGCTACCAACTTTGCGTAAACATTCACTTGTTTGATGAGCCGCCCAATGCCAAGCGCAAAGATCTTTACTCAAAACCTGGCGACGCATGCTGGGAGGATTGTTCTCCGTGCAAACCGGAGCTGGTGTTGGCTTGGGAACCCCCAGGTATCCAGTTGGGGTGCAGGTTGTCAACTTGCAGTGGATATTGCTGCCAGTGTTTGAACTGCCAGCTGTCACCAAGCCTGCCAAACTGGCTAAAGCAGGGATGCTCCAGCGGAGCATTCGCTCCTGGACTAGCGCCCGAGCTTTACAAGTGCCACGACGACTGTCCGTTAATAAGGCCAAAGCCTCTTCCATACTACCAAGGGCAGACGTGGAGCTCTCAAAACACGATGCTCGCACAACTTTCCCGCTGCACCCTGACAGAAGGGAAGCACGAAGGTCAAGTTCAGATTGCGTTGGCGGTCATTGCTGCATACCAGTGCCTGCCTTTGGTTGCTTTGGTCACCAGCCTTTTGCTTAGTGTCGCGTGGTCCCTGCTGAGGGGTGAAAGTGTCTTCAGCATGGTGGGCGGTGCGCCTGCAGACCTTGAAGCCCTTGAAGCCATAGACACCAACACAGAGCGCCTTCGTGACCAAATTGCACGCGGAAGGCTGCAAGCCTCGACAAAGGTGAAGCTCCAGCTGTGGATGGAGTTCGTCCTGTTCTTGTTGGACTACTTTTCAGATTACAACTGCTTGCTGCAGTTCTTTCTACAGGGAGCGTACCCTTTAGCAGCCGTACAGGCCTGCATCATCGCGGCGCCCGTGGCATTGGATTTCTACCGCGGAAAGATCCAGCTAATTGAGGTGATAGGCGGTTTCAACGATTCACGCAGACGGGGCTTCCCTACGAACAAGTTCATCCGGGCACTCCGCTCGGAGAAGAGCGTCGAAGCTCCGTTCTCAATGTTTCTCCAGTATTACACGCTCTTGCGGACCACGAGCCTCGTGGCAGTCTGGAGCCTGTGTCTTGCCCAGTGGTACCCGTTTCCCTTGTTTTGTTTCAAGGCTCCCTTATAGAGCAACCGACCCGAAAAGGGGTACCCTTATGATAATACGGTTGCTGGGCTACCAAGGTGTTTCTCACTGCTGCTCAGCCTGCTTGGCATTGCAAGGCATGCCTACGGCACGTTTGAGCTTCAGGTGCTGGACGTCCTGGCGCCAACTCAGACGGGGCCAGGCCAGCCAGAGGAAAGCCGAGCCTTGGCAGTGCCGGCGCAGCCCGTTTACCCCCAATATCCTCCAGGGCTGGTTCCGGAGCGGATGGGGCCTCATTTGAGCCCAGACATGCCTGCCTTGCCGCTGCCGCCGGGCATAGCGCAGCCCTGCAGTATGCTTCCTCCCATCACAATGGGCAACCAGAAGGTAAAAGAGACCGAATAGATATTGACTGTGCAAACTTGTAATTTGTAATAAAATCTCTTTTGTTTCGCAAAGAGTACATCTCAAGCGAAACATCTTAGAAGTTCTGTTGTTTCTTGCGTTTCCCCGTGCTCTGGAAAATCTCAGAGTCAGACACGGGTGTGTACTGTGAAGTCGTGGCCGGCTGGCTGCAAAAGTTGGGTTTAGGGTTTATACTAGGGTTTAGGGCTTAGGGCTTAGGGCTTAGGGCTTAGGGTTTAGGGTTTAGGGTTTAGGTTTTAGGGTTTAGGGTTTAGTTGCCCAGATCCCTGGGAGGATCCAAAAAGCCGAGCGTACGAATAGGAGCCATGTACTACTCCTGGGTTATTCTTAGGAACCTTAAGGGGATCTACTTTTTGGACGCTCCCAGGGGTTTGGGGAAGCTTTGTGAGTCTACGAGGGAAGACATGAAGCCATACAGTTCCGTGTGCTCGAAACCTCTGCTTCAGGCACATCATGCAGGAGGTGGCCGAGTGAAAGGCAGCCGGCTCAGCTCGGGTCTAGGGCCACGCATCTGTGCCATGTGCCTGCTTGTAGGATGAGCCTCTGCCCCCTCAACTTCTGCATGGTGAGGTGCTACTGGAGCTTTCGCGGGATCCTCTTTCCTGAATTTGGGCTAAAGTTTAGGGTTTAGGGTTTAGGTTTTAGGGTTTAGGGTTTAGGGAATATGTATTCAAGGCTTTAGGCTTTCAACCTGGGTTGGACAGAGTATCGACTCAGGACTGGCGTATGTTTCAGAGCATTTAACGCACCAACCTAAGGGTTTAGGGTGGTGGGCTTAGGGTTTACTAGCTCCAGGCACTTTAGTATCCACCCTCTCCACAGCGAGTTGCGTACAGTTCTGCCACCTTGTCGGCATAAGAAGCTGCCTCTCGCAAAAAGTCAACACTTGCTCAGACATGCCGCCCGGGCTTAGTCACGTACAACCTGGACCCCCATGTGCCTCCCCCATATGCTTGCGTTAAAGCGGCCCGTAAATTTATGCTTTCTCTATATACGCTGAAGCCTTAAGCTATTAAGCCCCTGTAGACTGTGTACTGAAACCCTCAAATTCTTCAACAATTGCGCTGTAAGCCCTTAAACCTCTACCCCCCCCCCCCCCCACCCCGAACGTTTAACTGGCTGGTTCTTAGTAGGGAATTGGGGAATTAAACGCCCTAAGAAAAATCTCAAAGGGCTATAGATTGGGGGGGGCAACCCTTGATTCCCTACACTAAGAGCCATGCAAGATAGCCCCAAAACCCTACCATAAGCAGATCTTAACCCCAGACGTATAGGATTCTGACTCACAAGCTTGTAGGCACATAGATAAAGCTTTCAATCGGACCAAGATTCTTTTGTTGAGGTCCGGAGGGGTTATTGGCCATGTTGAAGTAGACAACGATTGAAAGAGGCGGTCAGGGTTTTGGCCATTCCTGATTTTCGAACTACGTTGGCCGCCCGCCCTTTTCAGTGCCCAGCAACTTTTTGTTTGACAACTGCAACCCTATAGTAGTCCTGAAGACGGTGCAAGGTGGAACGCCCACCATCCCTGAACCCTGAACCCCGAGAGCCCTTGCATGCCCCCACCCGACAGCCCAAGAATCTCAGAGCGTACTGCGTTCAGGGTTTAGGGATTAGGGTTTAGGGTTTAGGGTTTAAGGATTCCCTAGACCCTAAACCCCTAAGCCGCCCTATTACCCCAAATGTGCCCAGCGAACCGAGCTTCCCACTTCTGGGCTCGAAGGGCTCGCGTTTCCGCCCTACCTTGAATGATGACTCATGATCTTGCCCCCTGAAATGAGTTTTTAGGCTTTATGATGTTTAGGGTTTAGGGTTTAGGGTTTAAGGTGCAGGGGTTAGCGCTTGATCTCCTGGTTTGCACATTGGTGCAGATTGCTTCTTAGGGCCTGACTGGCCTTGTCGCTAGGCTCTGGTTCCTTCAAGGGGATTTTGTATTTTTTATCGGGGTATACAAGGGGTGCCCTACTTTTGGGGAATACCAAAAAAAGGGCACCCGCAGTGAGAGTTTATACCGGGACGAGGGCCGTGGAAGCAGCCCTTTGCAGCCATGACGGGCATCTTTTCCGTGTGTTCCTTGGAGCACGCTGCTTGGCTGCCTCTGTCCCATCCACCCTCAATAAGCCCTAAACCCAATGTCCTAAACCCTAACCCTGAACCCCAAACCCGAAACCTTAAACCCCAAAACCTAAGTCCTAAACCCTCATGCGCACCCTGGATGTTTTTACTGCCGGTTCCTCCGTAAAAGGTGCCCACCCCCGCCTCTCCCTACCCGAGTCAACCCCCCCTTTAATATGGCCCCTAAACTTTTTTTTACGGGGTGCTAAGCAGGGGCCCTTGGGTTTTTATAGGGCCTTGTATATATTCTAAGGCCCCAATCAAGGGCTCATATTCAGGGACCGTGTCAACTACCCGTAGAGTTTTTGCTTTAGGCATGTATAGCGTCTGGGGAGGGGCTAAGTGTAGCTGAGGCACTTCTGGCCTGGAATTATGCAGCTCTTCTAACCCAAGCTAGGGCACCCCTATGATCCCGTGGCTTCGTGGAGGTGCGCGGAAGAACTGACTGGGTTCATTGTGAAGGAATCTAGCGAAGCTGCCTTATTTCATCCCCATAATTCAGTGAGGCCCTCCAGGCATTTTATTCGGGTTTGGGGTTTGGGGGGGGTCTGGTAATCCTGTAGGCCCCCGAACGGCTTATTACTTAGCATAGGGGGGAACGAAAAATGTCTGGAGGCATGGCAGTAGAATTAAGCAACGCGGCGTGGGCACCGACTGGAAAGGTTGCTAGTTTAGGGTTCGGTCTGCCTTAGTTCAGGCAGTACGTCTAGTCACCCTAAGCCTTACGACCTAAACCTGGGCCTTTCTTGAGTTTTTTCATTTTTAGGAATACTTGAACCCAACAAGGAACAAAAATGATCATTTTTGAAGTAGTGCCCCAACAACTGTGCAGAAACCCTTGCATAACCACACAAAACAGTTTGCTCATGGACTTCCACTGCCGCGTGCTGCAATTAGTTTAAATTTCAGGGCTTAGTGTTCTCCAACCCTAAACCCTAAACCCTAAACCCTAAACCCTAAACCCTAAACCCTAAACCCTAAACCCTAAACCCTAAACCCTAAACCCTAAACCCTAAACCCGGGGTTCAAAGTTTAGAGGTATACGGACCCTGGGGTTGGTACAAGTATTCAAGCTTGGACTCTTTGTCCCTCAACTATAGTGTTTTCTTGCACCTTCTAGTTTCCAGACCCCGAGACCGAAGATCCTAGCACCTTAAAGTCAAACCCTTCAACCCGTCAACTCCTTCAACTTCTTCAAACCCTAAAACCTAAACCCTAGACCCTAGACCCTGGACCTTAAACAAACCTTAAAACCTAAACAGCCCAGGCAGTGGCAGGCTCCACGGGAACGGTCTTTGCCACGGCGCGCCAGGGCAGAGGGCTGCGGATCAAGGGCCGTGGGTTTAGGGTTTAGGATTTAGGTTTAGGGTTCAGAGTTTAGGGCACGGACATAGGGCTTTGTGGGCGTAGAGCGTTTCAGGGTTTAGGAAAGTTTAGGGTAGAGTGGGCTTAGAGGGCTTGTTTGTTTTGTTAAGGGCTTGGAGGGTTTAGTAGTATTTGAAGTTGGGCCTACGTGGGGCCTAAAGGGCTTTAGCTTGATCGGTTTTTTGCCTACAACAGGAAGCAGCCGAACTATTGCTGAGGTCATGTACCTACCTAGGGTTGCTTCGGGGTTTAGGTGTTTGCACGTTTTTTTTGTTTTACCTTACAGGGTTTATAGGGCTTTTACAGGTTTTTTTGAGTTTATGGGGATTATAGGGTTTACAGGGTGTATAGGGTTTCTAGGGTTTAGGGTTTAGGGTAACCGGAAGCTTCCCGCTTTTGTCTGGTTCCAGGAACCATCAGCCCTGGGTTGCAACCAAGTCGCATGGGATACCCAAACAGGGTTGAGGGTTCAGGGTTGGGATGTTCTCCTCATACTAACAAGAACAAAAATAAGGACGCCCCTGGCCTAAACCTCCAGACCCCTCAAGCCCGTAAGCCCCTAGAGACCTAAAACCCTAAAGCCGAAAACCCGGAAACCCAAAAACATCTGAAGCCCCCCCCCCTCAAGAACTAAACCCCCTAAGGCCCCTAAACCCTCAAATCCTAAAGCCCCTAAAGCCCCTAAACCCTAAAACCCTAAACCTTCAACCCTAAAACCCTAAACCCCAAACCTTCAACCCTGAACCCTATAAACCCCATAAACCCTGCAAACCCTATAAACACTCTAAACCCAATAGACCCTATAAACCCTAAAACCCTGAACCCTAAACCCTCAGTTGTTCCTCTTCCCGCTGGAGCGGCTGAAGACGCTCCTGCAGATCGACAGCTCTGGCAACCTGGGGTCTCCCGGCTTCGGTTTTAGGGGGGGGGGGGGGTGTTGGGCTTCAGGGTTTAGGGTTTAGGGCTAGGGTTTACGGTTTCGGGTTTAGGGTTTATTAGGGTCTGGAGCTTAAGTGTGGGGATTTGGGGGCTGGGGTTTGTGAGCTTCAAGGCGTTTAGGGTTTTCACCGCCGAGTCCCCTCCAGAGCTCCTCCACTTGAAGGTTCATGGGTGGTTGCAAGTCGAGTTGCTAGGTACCGTAAACAAAGCTGCAGCCAGCGAATATTTCTAGTTACGTACAAATACCCATGAACCTCCAGTAGCCCTAAACCCTAAACCCCCCCCCCAAACCGTAAATGAGGTTCTGAGGGTGTCTAGGGATAGGGTCTAGAGGGCGCTCGACTGTAGCTACCCATGAACGACCCTAGACCTTAATCCCTAAACCCCTGTGGTGCTTTACTGTAACTTTAGATCCTTAGCCTTTTGGGGTTTATTGAGTTTCTTGATAAGGCAGCGACAAATCTTTAATTTATTGCCACCCTACTAAGTGCACCCAAGGAAGGAGGTTCAGGGGACAGCCTCCAGAAAGTTGCCAGGGCGTCTGAATCCTAAATCCGCGG